GCAGACCTTATGCTTTTTTTTAATTTTTGAGATGGAGTCTTGCTCTGTTGCCCAGGCTGGAGCGCAGTGATGCGATCTCGGCTCACTGCAACCTCCACCGCCCAGGTTCAAGCAATTCTCCTGCCTCATGCGTTAGGATTAACGTCATGCATCTTACATCTTTAACCCAGCCTTTCGTGACATATGGAAAGATGTATGTTAAACCTACCCAGTGATCCTTTCAGAATCGGGAGGAAAAACAACCAACGTTGTTTTTTCAAACTCAGAAGTTTGAATAGAAAAACACCAAGTAAATGGCAGAAGATTCTCGAATTTATGCCTGCGTAGGTTTAGAGTGTTGAAAAAGCTAAAATGTTTAGTTTCACTTGGCCCTAAGGTATGGCTGAGAGAAGGCTGACTGCCAGCAGTTGAGGGTTGAGTCCGGCCGTGTTTACATGCAGGGTTCCCAAACACCAGTGGTGACACTGGGAAGCAGCCCCAGCACTTTCCTCTCCTGAGTCCTCCAGACTCAAAAATCCTTAATGTCAAACCAGGTCAGTATTTCTTACTGTGTTTCAAGTCGTTAAAAAGACTGAGAGTAGAGGCACTTTATGCTGCTATAGGTGGGGTTCTGTCAGCGTTAGGAAAAATGACAGTTTAGGGTAAGGAAGATCTCTTCATGAGTTTCTCAAACATAGTTATGCAAACATGAGATTTTTCAAAACATATACCAGACATTTGCCTCTAATTTTTTTTTTTTTTTTTGGTGGGGGTGCAGTATACCAAAGTAGCCAGTCAGCCAGTCACTGGGCTGTCAGTTCAAAACGTCTCGTACTTCAGAGGGAGGAGGTGTTTCAGTTCCTCTGACAGAACCTGGCATGCAGGAGACACAGAGTTGTTCCTATGAGCAAACCAGTGCCCGGAGTGTGAGCTGCGCAAGCCCAGTGACTCTTTCACTTCCAGTCTAATGCTTCATAGGGCACCTTGAGGCGTGCTGCCCGGTGTGGCTTAGACTAAATGCTGTTTTTTTTTTTTTTTTTTTTTTTTGAGTCAGGGTCTCGCTGTCCCTCAGGCTGGAGTGCAATGGCGCGATCTCAGCTCACTGCAACCTCCACCGCCCAGGTTCAAGCAATTCTCCTGCCTCAGCCTCCCAAGTAGCTGGGATTACAGGTGTACGCCACCGCACCCCACCAATTTTTGTATTTTTAGTAGAGACAGGGTTTCGCCATGTTGGTCAGGCTGGTCTTGAATTCCTGACTTCAAGTGATCTGCCCACCTGGGCCTCCCAAAGTGCTGGGATTACAGGCGTGAGCCACCGCGCCTGGCCAATGTTGAGTATTTTAAAAGTCATTTTAAAATATTTGTCATCGATGAAACTTGGTTTCAGCACACATAATTGCTTTCCCTCTCTTCTTGTAATTAGGTGTAAACCTCTATAACTCAAGTCCTAGATTAGAATGTCCTTTGTCCCGATGTTTGCAGTAATTGCTTCCTTGGTTAATAGATAAAGATATTTTTGAAATATACTCTGGACTGTTGGTGAAAAGAGGCAGGCGTGGCTTCACTGGTACTAGTTTGGCACTGAACTGTTTGGGTGCCCGTGAGGTGGGCAGACCTTATGCTTTTTTTTAATTTTTGAGATGGAGTCTTGCTCTGTTGCCCAGGCTGGAGCGCAGTGATGCGATCTCGGCTCACTGCAACCTCTGCCTCCGAGATTCAAACGATTCTCCTGCCTCAGCCTCCCCAATAGCTGGGACTATAGGTGTGTCCTGTAATTTCTGTATTTTTATTAGAGACTCGGCTGATTTTTGTATTTTTAGCAGAGATGGAGTTTTGCCATATTGGTCAGGCTGGTCTTGAACTCCTGGCCTCAGGTGATCCACCAGCCTCTGCCTCACAAAGTGCTGGGATTACAGGCATAAGCCACCATGCCTGGCCTAGACCTTATGCTTTTGAGGTTGAGTGCAGGCCTTGTGCTAAGTGAAGTGCTACTTTTGATGAGCCTTCGACAAGCGGCCCAGTCCTCTCCTCAGCAAACTTATCAGGTTGTAGTTGCTTCTTTACAGTGGTCTTTCCTTTTATTGAATCTATAGCAGTGAATATAGATTTGATTCAACTTTTGGTTACGTTCTCTCAATCCTAATCAACTTTCATTTAGCCTCTTAAGAAAGGGAAAAGAAGGTGCTGCCAATCATCCCCAAATTATGTTTTTGGCTTTGCATTCTATTTTCTACATAGCACTGAATCTGAGTAACACAGTCATTCTGGATTTGTAGTTGGAACAGAACAGTAACAGACCTAACTGGGACTCAGCCAGCACTAGCCTCATCTTAGCTGCCCCTTTTCTCTGCATTGCAGTTTACTGCTTCCCTGGGCTAGACGTAACTGGGGGTTCTGGGCAGGTCAGACTCTTCAGGCAAGACAGTGTATTAGTAGTGTGAATTCAATATACTGATTACCTGCTCTGCCTAGTTGAGAAACTGAATTAATCAGCAGTTACAAAGCATATACTTTGTTATATGCTAGGCCTGGCCTATACATAATTAAGACAGCCCGGGGAATACCATCAGAGAAGTGCTAATTGTATTTGGGTGTTACAAAAGCAGACCTAGACAAGCTGTTCACTTAACTGGTACCTGTTGGGTCAGAAAAAGAATTTATTTAGAGATTATGATCATGTAAAATTACAGTACTCAACCCTTCTAGCAAAGTATTTTTTTGAAAAATAAACTAAATGCCTTTATAAACTTGTGTTCTCTTGTGTTGAGTAACATGTACTGTCTGGTGAGGAGTATTTTTTTCTCGTGACATTCCAGTCATGACAGAGGTCATCTAGGAACAGTGAGCAGTGCAGGCCCTAACCAGCTTACCCTCCGAGCAGCAGCACCAGCACCTGAAGTTTCTACAATGGAGATGTTCTGTATTTGCATCTTAGCTTGCCTGAGAAACTGCATGTTTAATTCTCATACTTCACTCCCATGTATTAATAGTGATTCCCTCATCTGAGTGTGCGACTGAATTTTCACTTTCTCTGGTGAAGGTGAGAAACAAGTCAGATGTTCTCCATGAGAAATAGGAAAGAATGCAGTAGACTCACATTTAGTGTTCTCAAGCCCAAGAAACACAAGATCCTCTTAATTCACCCCCACTTTCCCTTCCCTGGCAATCATCCAGAGCATGTTTTCTGGAAAACTAACCTATTCTTCCATCAGCAGAGGTTGCTTGGTGCCTATTTTATCACTTTCACAAGAACATCTGTGTTCTCTTCACATGCAGCCATAGTTATTTCCAACTGTCAATCAGAATGCACATGCAGACTGTCCACATGATTCCTAGAACCCCCTAGAACTCATTCATGTGTATCCAGAGTACAGGAGTTCCAGAACACAACCCTCTTTACAGGGCAGGAAACGGGCAGCGACAGCAACACGTTCACCCAGCTTTATCAAGACCTATTACAGAAGACGCTCCAAATAAAACCACTGTCTCCTGTAGAAATCTGAGTTACGTTTTACTACAAAAGAATATCAAATACATTAAATTACAGTGTGAAGAAATTTTAAAAATGAAGTGTATCATTAAATGTTTGCAAAATTTCTTCCTAAGCACTTACAACTAGTTATATAGCTCTTTTAAAAATTCAGATTTCTACACTTAGTTTAACATGAAAGACATTCGCACTAAGGTACTTCAGCCCCAACTTTCACAGACTGTTGGAAGTTAGAAGGTAAATTCATTTTTCCTATCAGGGAAAATTATACTAGACTTAACAGTTTTAAATGAGCAATAACTCACATATATTAGAGAGAAATCACCTCTTGCCTTATAAATACCAAAGAAATTCCCTAGACTCCCCTTCTCTGTAGAACCATGAGCTCACTGTGAAGGCTTGAGCCTCAGAAGTACAATTTGAGGAAAAAAATGAGAAACAGCTAAAACAGGAACCTCCTGCAGGAACCCTCTGTGACTGTTAAACATTCCATCTTCAAGCTCCCTTTTTAAACCCAGTCCGTTCCCAACATCACTGAAAATGAAAAGAAGAAACTCGGTGATCCTCATGTCAAGGCAGTGTTTTCACTGTCTCTTGATATTTTACCCCATTTCTTACTGGCAACATCTCCCCTACCCCTGAAATTATTTACAGGTTCCCTCTATGGCAAACCCTTGCCCTTTTTTTAGCTTTAGGTATAACACATCTTTTGAAAAACGTGTTAGTAAATACTCAAGCTTGGGCGTCATTTCCTGATGTGTGAAGCATGAAAGCAGTATTGTCCTGTGGAGATTGCTTTTGCACCAACTATATAGGAAGGTCCTTGGCCTCTAAGCTTGCCTTTAGAGGTTGGAATTCATAGAAAACAAATTCCGCTGTCAAACACCTGTTCCTAATTTTGTGCAAAGCAATACAACATAGCACAACTCCATTTGTTGTTTTTCATTTTGCTTTGTAGAGAAGGGGTCTTGCTATGTTGCCCGGTCTAGTCTCAAACTCCTGGCTTCACGCTGTCCTTCCTCCTCAGCCTCCCAAAGTGTTGGGATTACAGGTGTGAGCCACCATGCCTGGCCCCACCTCCATTTATTAGGCTATCTCATGCAAACTTAAAATTAAAAAAAAAAGCCGGACGTGGTGGCTCACGCCTGTAATCCCAGCACTTTGGGAGGCCGAGGCGGGTGGATCACGAGGTCAGGAGATCGAGACCATCCTGGCTAACACGGTGAAACCCTGTCTCTACTAAAAACACAAAAAATTAACCGGGCGTGGTGGCGGGCGCCTGTAGTCCCAGCTACTCGGGAGGCTGAGGCAGGAGAATGGCGTGAACCCGGGAGGTGGAGCTTGCAGTGAGCCGAGATCGCGCCACTGCACTCCAGTCTGGGAGACACAGCGAGACTCTGTCTCAAAAAAAATAAAAATAAAAATAAAAATAAAAAATCCCAGGCCCCAATGTAGATCATGAACCTACTAAAGACTCAATATAGTAAAAACAAATTTTTAAATGTTTCTGACTTTCTAAAAGTGCAGTGGTTTGGGCTAAAGACTAACCAACATTATAGATCTAATCTGTTGTCAAAGAACACAATTTCTGACCGGGTAACAAAATAAATCTGATCATCTGACACATGGCCAAGATTCTCAGACAGTAATTAAAGGCATTCTTTTGGGTTCTGTCCTTTAATAACTTTCAGAGGCTTCCAGTTCAGTAAAGACACTGATCAAAGCTTGGTAAAAATGGGCTCGTTTGCAGACTTTTGGTGATGTTTTTCAATCAATTCAACAGGCCAAACGAGTGCTAGTCACTGACAGAGTTCTCATCACTCACTGGTTCTGGGCCAGTTTTCCATAGCCTCCTCTTCCAGCGTCGTAGTCCTGCCGATACTCATCCCGAACCTTTAATGGAAAGAATCCAGAGTTACAGTATGGAAAAGAATGGTGTAACACATATGTCTCCCATAAACACGTTAGACAAACAGTAAAAACTGTTCAGATGCCATAATGTGAACATTTCAAGCAGGACATATCCACTTCAGCTCATTTCAGTGCATTCTGCTTTCATTCTAGATGTTCCTGCAGGTGGAATCTAGCCCCTAGCAGAAGTTCAAGAATGGTTGCTTATTAGAAACGTACAGGACTTACTATTTCAGGGTTTAAAAAATTCACCCAAACCGTTGGGTGGTTTTCAGATCCACTTCAAGCCAAGGTTATAGACACAAAGTTATTTACAAAAGAGTAAATACAAATTGCCAAAACACCTGTCATTGTGACTGGAATCCCAGGCAATGGGCTGAGCCCAGAGACCCTTCTCGCATACCTGGCCCCCAGATCGCCCACGGCCGTACTGCCTGCCTTCCTTAAAGCCTGCGTCCCAGTCTGTGCGAATGATTCGGTCATCCAGACGTGTTCCATTTATGTACCGCATGGCATTTTCGGCATCTGCACGTGAGTAATATCTTAAGTATTAAGGAACACTACCATTTTTCCAAACATTTCTGGAAATAGGGGAACAACATGTAAATGAAGCTGCATTGTTGAAAAGTACAAGAGCTAATCTAATCAGATGTAGTTCAGAGACAGCAGTTCAGCTTGCACAGGCCTGTCTGCCATGGTTTGGAAGCACAGAGAGTCAAACATGACACGTCTCCGTAGCTGCACTGATCAGATTTGTTGGACATTCCTGTTGATAATTTTTGGTCCCATCATCTCCGTATTTGGTTTGCAAAATATAAGATAATTCAGTGCAGGTTTGGACCATTGTACACTTCTTATCCAAGAAACAAGTGCTATATATTCAAGTTAGGTGCCATATATTCCAGGGCACCTTAATAAAGAGAGGGTCACAGTGCATGTGGAATTGCGCTGCGTTTCACTAAAGGAAAGACTTAAGGTATCACCAGGGTAGCAGTCCCCAAACCTACTTCATCAGAGAGAGCTCCCTTTAATTAAAGGGGAGGACATTTAATCCCAGACAAATAAAAATAAGACAATGGTGTTGTGAATAAACCATCTGGAGGAACTAGTGTCTTTGATGTTAGCAGGCCAAAATAAAATCTCTTTTCATTCTAGCATTTGGGAAACCCACGTATCCCCAAGGCAAGCCAGCAGTCTGGGAGAGATGCCCTGCCTGGGTCCAGTGAGTCAGCATTCTTTTCCTTAATTATGAGCAGAAATCCAGGGATCACCAGACACTTAAGGAAAAATTTCATCTGAAACAAATGTAATTCAGGACACAGGAAAAAACTCAAAAGATACATTAGATTGGGTCTGCAAAATTTCTCAGAATACTAAATTGAATGACCAAAACAGAGAGTAAAAAGAACATAGGATAAATCCAGGAGGTCCAATGCTTAAAACAGTCTAAGTAAGAAAATGATCACAAGTAAATACAGTTTTGGTTTGTACCTATACAATCAGCTTATACACATCTATGTAATGAATTACGATATAGCTATTAAAACATTTTTTTCTTTAAAGATGGGGTCTTGCCCCGTCACCCCGGCAGGAGCACAGTCAAAACTCAGTGTAGCCTTGGACCCTTGGGCTCAACTGATCCTCCGGCCTCAGCCTCCTGAGTAGCTGGCACTACAAATACGAGCCACCATGCCCGGCTATACGGCTATTTTAAAAACAGACCTACATGTGCTGAAATGGAACAATAAATAATAAATGATTTTAAAAACAGCACATGAAGTACACTACTGCACACCCACAGGTTACTTCTTGAGAGATGCTCAAGAAACTGGTAACTGCCTCTGGCAAAGGGAACTAGGGGTTTAGAACAGTACAAGGTTTTTATATTTTCACTGTGCTCTTTGGAATTTTTTTTTTTTTTTTAAATGAAGGGCAAACATTCTTGAAAAACTTTTTCTTAAACAACCATAGGCCGGGCGCGGTGGCTCAAGCCTGTAATCCCAGCACTTTGGGAGGCCGAGACGGGCGGATCATGAGGTCAGGAGATCGAGACCATCCTGGCTAACACGTTGAAACCCCGTCTCTACTAAAAAATACAAAAAACTAGCCGGGCGACGTGGCGGGCGCCTGTAGTCCCAGCTACTCGGGAGGCTGAGGCAGGAGAATGGCGTAAACCCGGGAGGCGGAGCTTGCAGTGAGCTGAGATCCGGCCACTGCGCTCCAGCCTGGGCAACAGAGCCAGACTCTGTCTCAAAAAAAAAAAAAAGAAGAAAAAAAAAGAGCAGTGACACTGGACAGAAGGTAGGAGGGAGACGAGGGAAAACGTAGGGGCAAGTACAGGGAGGCTTATGAGCTACTACTCTCAGCTCTACCCCAGTTCAGCAGCCACATTCCATCCACAGGAAGGATACTCCACAAAACAGAATCCACATGCTGTTTTCTTCATTTTATCCAGACCCATAATGATTTTCTTTATGTCACCACTTTTGCTGAAGAGTTCGTAGATTTGTTCTTCGGTTGTGTAAAAAGAAAGATTTCCAACATATAACGTACAGCTTTTCTTCAGTAATTTTTCTTGTTCTTCATTGTCACCCTAGAATTTCAAAGAGAGACAAAAGTTAAGCAACTTCAGAGCCTTGCTTAAATAGTATTTCTAAGTATGGTAGAAACATTCGTTAATTCTGATTTGGAAATCAAATTCTCTCATCCCAGCCTACCACAAATCCCTTGCTCAAAAAAAGGGAGATGTTCACATCCTGTGAAGCACTTATGCAAAGTCCAGACTCTTAGTAGAGACAAGGCTCAAAAGTTATACCGCATACAGCAAAGTCACCCTACGCCAGACTGCCACACAAGCGGCTTTTTTCCCTGCACACGCCATCTTCTCAGCAGTGCATCCTTTCAACCAAGGTTAAACTCTGGACCTTGACCCATGTATGACAAAGGGCCCTTTTATACTCTGTAGTGAGAAATAAGTGGATTTTCAGAGAGTCCCCTTTTAATAACCCCATAGAGACTATTCAAAGCAACAACTCTGATGCTTTACATGCTCATGTATTTTTTCTGAATTGAGGAAAAAAATGTAGTGATCACTAAAAACAAAACAGAGCTCACTTTCCTAATGGGCTTCCAAACTGGGATGACACGATGAAGCCAGAGATAAGGATACAACTGGGCTTCATCCAACACACCTGACAAATCCCTGGATCCAAAATGGCTCATCAGGGTCGCGCACAGCGGCTCACGCCTGTAATCCCAGCACTTTGGGAGGCCGAGGCGAGCGGATCACGAGGTCAGGAGATCCAGACCATCCTGCTAACACGGTCGAAACCCGCGCCGCCGCGCGCCGCGCGCGCGCGCGGGCGCCGTCTCTACTAAACAGAAATAAGAAAAAAAAAAAAACAAAAATATTAGCCGGGCGTGGTGGCGGCGCCTGTAGTCCCGGCTCGCCAGGAGAATGGCGTGAACCCGGGAGGCGGAGCTTGCAGTGAGCCCAGATCGTGCTACTGCACTCCAGCCTGGGTGACAGAGCCAGACCCCGTCTCAAAAAAAGTGCAAATCATGCCTGGCACTTAAGCATCTAAAAACTGGACTGGCCGGAGTCAGTGGTTCACGTCTGTAATCCCAGCACTTTGGGAAGCCCGGGCTGGTGGATCGCTTGAGTCCCAGAGTTCGAGACCGGCCTGAGCAACACAGGGAGACCCTGTCTCTACAAAAAATTAGCCAGCCTTGGGCAATAGCGCGTGATTTCCTATAAAAATAAAAAAAAAAATTCGGGTCAATTATATTTATTTTTGAGACAAGAATCTCGCTCTATTGCCTAGGCTGAAGTGCAGTGGCCGCAATCACGGCTGCATGCTAGCCTCACACCTCCTGAGCCAACTGGATCTCCACCTCAGCCTGCCTCTGGACAGAATCTGGGACCCACAGCCTCTCGCACCTAACATCCGA